AGGGTAGTAAGCAGGAAAGAAATCCCAACAAACTAGCCACACACCTAGGCTTAATCTGTTGAAATTTCTGAATTTTAAGGAAAATAGATAAATTTAATGCTACCAGAGAGAAAACAAGGGGGTACCTTCTAGAAAGGAAAGAAACTCAAGCTGGCTCTGTGACAAAGGGTGACCATGGAGGTCTTGACGTGTCCTGGGGGGAAGGACGAAGCCCAGACATCCGCAGTGCCCAGTCCACCTGGCGCACAGACGAGGGCCAGGTAAAGTCAAGATCCAGGGCAGCACACAGGCCTTTTCTCCAAAAATCAAACAAAAACAGCCAACCAAGAAATCACCCTGTCACCCCAATTAAGGATGTATTCCAGCAGAGTGAAAAATACATCTGGATGTGGAGTTAAGGGCAGGGGCAACGGCTACAGAAAACTGGTCAGGAGAGAAACCAGGAGCCCTTACATTTTCATCTGAACAGTTGTTGATCATGTGGCTTGTGACTTATTAAGAACGGCTTTTAAAGGAAAAGCACAGTATTAAATGAGTTTCCAAAACTCAAGATGATGTCATCAGAATCCAGGAAGACGAGGATGGGAAGACTGTGGAATAAAAATGAGCCCAATATTTCACCTTTTCCCAAGTTTGGATCTTTACAAATATTAATTCTTGATGCCAACATTTTTTCAAAGTGATTTAAACATATTTATTTTTAAAAATTGGGGTAACCACTGGTCAGAATAGAAATAAGGTTTAGAACTTCCAAATCACCAGTGGGAAGAAAGGGGAAAGACAATTTAATCAGTCCAGCAAAAGTAAAGGGGAGGAAAACAGAAAGTAAAATGGAAAGAAAAATTGTCAGCTGAAAACAATGATCTGTACTTGGAACCAAGCTTGGTGGTTGTTCTCTTTTACAATGACTCATGGCACGTTCACTCCTCCTGGAAACCAGGGCAAGGAGGAAACTGACATTACCAACACCTCTTTCCCACAACCCTGATGACCGCTCTTACCTGGAGAATATGCATACACACACACACTCACACACCCCCCTGCATACACACCCACTCTCACACACGCGCACACAGGCACACACATACACACACACTCACGCATTCACAAGCACACACACGCACATAAACACATACGCACTCACACACACGCACTTATGCACACACACTCACTCTCACACACTCTCACAGTGACGTTCCTTCTCTCTCACTTCAGCCAGGGCCTCATTAAACCAGCTTGCCTTGCTCTTCCTGCCCATGATGTTGAATGGTCTTGGATGGACAGCAGCTCCGCAGGCACCTGCCTCCTTCCTGCCACACACCTGGGCCTGCTGCCAGCCCTGTCGGGTACCTGTGCTGTCCTCCCAGAGATACGGAAATGCAAGCTGTTTATGAGGCCCCTACCCCCATCAAGCAGCCTTGTTTAACGTTTCGTGCCAACGTTCAACACAAAAATCGGCAGGATAGGGAGCCTTGTTGGATGACCCCAGAGCAGACTGTCAACAAGGTCCCCAGAGCCATCACATGGGGCATTTGGGCACCCTGCTCCTTCTTCTTAGGTTCTCTTAGTGAGTCTTGGATAACAAACTGGGCCAGTTGAGGAGCTCACACTCAGGGGATCCATGGACATAAATTAGAAGCTGGAACTGTCCAGCTTGCAAGTGCTGGATGTGAAATTCATTCGAAAGAAAATTGAAGAAAGCTCAAGAGACTTCCGTTTCCACAGTGCTAAGCAAGGGTACCAAGTGTGCATACCCACAAAGGCAAAAGTTTCACAGCTTGGCGCCAAGAACCTCTCTGAAAGTAAAACTAATGTTCAGGCTGAAATGCAAATTAAATTCTTCTCACTTTAATCCTGACAGCATTATTTTTTTAAGAGAAAGAAACACCCTATCCCTACATTTTTACTTTGATTTGCTCCTGGTTTCAGGTAATCTTTTCTGTGTATTCATTTATGTCCATTTTTGCTCCTCCCTCAAGACGCTACAATTCACTAGGTGCCATCATACCTTGCTCTCTTTTTAACACCGGAATGACCCTTATAATAAAATGTGAGGTGACAAAGTATAACACACACAACATGAGCTGTGATGCACAGTGCAGATGCACAGCAAGGGGGCCAATGTCCTGGTAGCTCCTCTTTCCAGGCCATTTGTTAAATGTAAGACTTTCCTTTTAATAAAGTTTTGAGGGCTTTGCTTTGGGACCCATTTTTAAAGAGTGTGACCTCCCAAATCTATTAAGACATCAACATTTGCCTCTCCAGATTTTTCTTATTTGGTTCCTTTTGTCTCCAGTAACACCCACAGCATTACTTGCTTTCGACTTCAATTCTGAAGCAGAAGCATCTGCCCTCCCATCCTGCTCCATCCCCTGGCTCACCTAATTTCCTGCTACGCTGTCCTGCTGATTCACAGGAGTCCTGGTCTAAAGGTGTCTTCTCCAAAGCTACTTGCTTTGCTCATCTGAACTCTCTTCAGGGAAACAACAACAAAAACCCATTTCCAAAATAAAGCATTTACCAAAAATAAGGTATTTCAAATAGTTTGCATTTTGAAATAGACTTTGGTACTAGAATGACATTGTTTATTGGCTCAGCATTTGAGTAACGTTCTGCCTCCTGGAGCTTGTGTGGTGTCCTTTTATTTTCATAGGACAGTGGCACATTTGTCCAGAAGGATTGCAAGGGGCACCCTGCCACTGGGCGTATGAAGAACCCAAGACACAGAAGCTGCCAAGGAGACAGAGCTGACGCAGGGGCAGCCTCACGGCTCTGACCCAGGCTCTCTCTGCTGCTGCTGAATCAGCTCGGCACAGCCCCCTGCAGCAGGAACCAGGGGAGAGGTTTGGTTATGTGCTTTAGGCTATTAAGATTAGAGATGATGGAGGCCAGGCATGGTGGCTCACCCTGTAATCCTAACACTTTGGGACCCTGAGGCGGGCAGATCACCTGAGGTCAGGAATTCAAGACCAGCCTGGTCAACATGGTGAAAACCCGTCCCTACTAAAAATACAAAAATTAGCTGGGCGTGGTGGCACATGCCTGTAATCCCAGCTACTTGGGAGGCTAAGGCAGGACAATTGCTTGAACCTGGGAAGCGGAGGTTGCAGTGAGCCAAGATCGTGCCACTGCACTCCAGCCTGGGCGATAGAGCAAGACTCTGTCTCAAAAAAAAAAAAAAAAAAAAAAATTAGAGAAGACATTGAGGAGGAAAGGATAAACAGCAGCATCAGTAACTCCGAAGTCTCTATCTTGCAGACGCTATTTTTCAAGGTCTTTTAACAGATATAAATGCTTTTCACATAAGTGAAATATGATAAAAATACACTGACTTTTATAAATGAGCTCCACTTTCAATATCTTAGAAAATGTCTTTAGCAAAATGATTCTGCCTTTGCAGATTTTAGTTATGGATGAGATATTGCTTAGACAGCGCTGTTCGACGAGGCCCTAATTAACAACTATTTTTGAGTGTCACCTATGTGTCCCGTATTCCACATGCAATGTTTTAAGTACCTGTGCATATAAAAAGTGAGTGACAGCTAAGATTAAAGCACTCTTCCCTCAACTACAGAAGATAGAGAACAAAGAGGGAAATTTTTGGAATCATGAGAAATTCACACACCAACACACAACAAAATACTTCAAAAGACATTGATTGGTGCTACAATTTCAACTTACCTACCATCAGGTTTGATCTGTCTATTTCGTTTTTCTTAAAACACAATGGTTAAGTTAGGGAGCTGTAAAATTTAATTCAAGACAACTGTTTTTCCCCATCCCTGCCTCCTCCATGTGCTCTGACAGGCATGCTTTCAAATAAAATTCCACACTGCTTTTTCTCAAATAAAAGGCGTGCTAGTAGCCAAGCACTAGAAAACAAGGCAGCACACACACACGCACACACCCCCGCAAAATAAACGTGTTTCAGGTTAGGATTATGGTTTTAGTTTTGAGCTTTTAAAAAAGTAGTAAAATTATACATTTAAAAAGATAAAAATACCTTAACTGTGTCCTTTTAAATAAAGGTGAGCTTAGAAGTTAGGACCTTTGAATTCAAAAGTTCCTGTTCACTTTACTGTTAGCCACTGAAATTCTAAAAAAAGAAAAAAGAAAACCAGCAATGAAGGGCATCGAGGGTAGTGCAGACACCAGGAAGACAACCTCTGCCTGCCATTGGCGCCCCTGGTTACACTGTCACCACCTCTCGGAGCCAGCAGGGCCTCTCCAGGGAGCCCACGGCAGGCTCTAGGCAGCTCATCACTGTGGACACCCTGGTGGCTCCAAGACAGCGTAAACATCCAGGAGACCGGGCTCAGGGTGAGTCTGGGAAAGCCAATGCTGACATAATTTTCAGTGTCTGAGTCTCTGCCGCTGAGACAGGAATGAACACACTGCCTGACTGAGAGGGAAAGAGACAGCTGCCCAGCCCAGTCATAATTTCATTCTTTTCATTTTTCATTTCTTTCTTTTTTTTTTTAAGACAGGATCTCACTCTGTTGCCCAGGCTGGAGTGCAGTGGTGCAATCTTGGCTCACTGCAACCTTGACCTCCTGGGCTCAGGTGATCCTCCCACCTCAGCCTCCCAAGTAGCTGGGACCATAGGTGTGCCCCACTTCATCTGGCTGATTTTTTTGTATTTTTGTAGCGATGGGCTTTTGCCATGTTTCCCAGGCTGGTCTTGAAATTCTGGGGTCAAGCAATCCACTAGCCTTGGCCTCCCAAAGTGTTGGGATGACAGGTGTGAGCCCATCAATTCCTCTATGAATGGCTAGGTTTGTGATCGGTAAAGGAGATTAATCTTGCAGAGGGACTCACTTAAAAGGCCCTAGAGACAAGGCCCGGAGAGACCCAGAAACATCACCTTGGGTCCCTTTAGAAGGACTCTCATGTTCTTCCGATAGCCACAGAGCAGCTCAGGTGGTGTTTTTTTCATTCATGAGGATGAAAACATTGCAAAATCAAGACAGATTAAATCAGCACACTCCAGAGATACTTGCCACTGAGCAAAGGCTTGTTGAGGGTGTAGAGAGGTGGCAGGTCCTCTATGTTGGAGATCCGCTGGTACATGGCCCTGGAAAGGTGGTCCCCATGGTAGAGGCTTCCCAGGATGATGCTCGAGAAGTAAATGGGCTCCACGAAAATGCTGAGCAGGGATCCCTGGATGCCCACCACGTTCCAGCTGGAGGGAGAAGAAAGCACAATCTTTAGGGAGCTCGGACTCAGTGCTGACGCGGCCCAGCTCAAGCCTGAGTGGTTACAGGGATGCACTGACAATTCTGCAGGATCCCAACCAACTGACGAAGGAGCGCAACAAAAGTAATAGACTGCTTTAGCAGCTTACGATCGCAAAGACAAAAATCTACTTAAAAGTTATTTTACGCTGTGATTTTTTTTTACCATTACGTTTCCCATAATCAATGAGCCATGTGTGTTTCTTGTGAGAAAGTTGTGGGAAATATCAGAAAGGAAATTATGTATTTATTTCATTACAGCAGGTCCCCTTATCTGAGGTTTCACTTTCAGAGGTTTCAGTTACCCACTGTTAAGCATGATCTGAAGATACTAAATGAAAAAATTCCAGAAATAAACACTTCCAGACTTTAAATTGGATGCTGCTCTGAGGAGTGTGATGAAATCTTGCGCCATCCAGCCCGGGGTGTGAACCATCCATGTTGCAGATGCCACTGGCCCGTTAGCAGTCACCTTGGTGACCAGATTGATGGTCGCAGCATCACAGTGCTTGCGCTCAAGTCACTCTTATTTTATTATTAATGACTGTTGTTAATCTCTTACTGTGTCTAATTATAAGTTAAACTTTATATAGGAATGTACTTACAGGAAAAATACCAGCACGTACAGGGTTCAGTCCTGTCTACAGTTTCAGGAGTCTACTGGGGGTCTTGAGACACATCTGCGGAGAAGCGGGGACCACTATACTTCTTATAAAAATGATAGCTCTTCAAGGAGCCCTTCAAAACATTCAACTGCTTATTTCCTGTTCTCTGCAAGTGACAATGGCACTGAATGCACAGGGAGAGAGGGTGTGGGGTTTACAGCGGCTGCATGTGTGCAGCTGACATGCACGACACCAACTATGCACGCCAATGGCAACTTAGGTATTCGTTATCAGCTCCAGCACACACATGCCTTCACAATATGCCTGTTCTCTCTTTCTGAGCCCCGCAAACAGCATGCTCTGCTCAGCCTGGGAGTTGCTGTGTCCAGAGCACCCTTTGCTGGGCACTATATACACATGGTGTGAGGTACTGGGGGGAGACAGAGCCTAGGAGCTAAACAATAATGCAATGAAAAGACAAACGAAGAACCATAAAATTGAGGTAAAATCAATTTGGAAGAAAGGGCAGGGTTCTGTGAAAAAGAAAAAGGGGTGTATGAACTTCAAGGAATGCTCCTGGAGTGACCCTGAAGCTCAGCCCCAAAGGAGGGGGCTGTGAGGCTGAGGGAGGAAGGCATGTCCCAACCTAGGGGGCAGGGGACGCAGGACAGCAGTAAGGGCAGCCAGGGCAGAGGGGCAGGGCAGGGGACCCTGAGCAGCCAGGAGCCTGATGAGGGATGGGGCGGTATTCAGACGGCAGAGAGAGGCCAGAGAGAGAGAGAGAGCCAGCCACTCAAGCCTTTTGCTTACCTGCTGCCTGAGGCCTCCCTTCCCTGCCGCCCAAGCCCTCCACCCCGATTCTGACCTCCATGCATTTTACAGGTCCATGTCGGGCTATCCGCCCCATCCTACCCCAGCACGGGAAGAGGTTTCTGTCGGCTTTCTTTACTGACCTATCCCAGCACTCACAATACATACCTGGCACACACACAAGATCAATAAATGTGTCGAATGGACAAATCCTCCAATTCCTATGACATGTTCCTTCCACCTTCCAAAATGGAAATGAAAATGCAGGTTTCCCTAACTTGCAGAAAAAGCATGAAATGATTCAATGCCTCTAAGAAACACAGGCCTATTTCTTCTCTAGATTAGAAGCCTCTATGCACTTAGAGCATCTTTAAGCTGAATTCAGTCTTCAGGGCAAACTTTAAAGCAGTGATCCTGCAAAAACCTACATTTGTTAGGAGTCATTAATTCTGAACACATGCTTTGTAAGAGAATTCCAGGAGTGTCTACAGCTCTGCAGAGGCCCTGGGTGGGAAATGGTGTGGCACCAGCTCCCACCAATGCACCTCACAAAGGACAGCTGGGACAAACGTCATCAGGATGAAATCGCCTAGCGCCAGTGAGAGGGTGTCAGGCACAGTCAGCATCCATGCAAGTAAAACAAGTAAAGCTCTGCAAAAACTGCGGGCAGGACATCTTCTAGAGATACCCACTACACGTCCACAGCCACCTGTCCTGCGGACCCCATGGGGGGTGTCCACTCACAGCGTGCTGTGACGTGTTTGGCTGACACTCGAGGAACCTAAAGGTGTCCCCACTCTCATAGCATGGCCTCAGGCTCACTGCACCCGGGTCTAGGCATCTGTGCCTGGCCTTACTCATCTTTCATTTTCCTTGTGCCATTTCTTTAGGAAAAGAGTCCAGAGCACTATCATCTGATCTGTCCCCTGATCCAGCAAACGGCCTGGCCTGAGAGACTGAGCTGCAGACAGATGTCGGCCAGACCACACAGGGCAGGAGAACTACTCTGACCCAAACCACAGCCTCCACAGCCAGGCTTTGAGGGAAGGACTACAGCTTCCTAGTGGTTGCCCCACACCTACCCTTTCCTGCTTCCAACCCAGGACCAGCCAGAGATGCCCCTGGGTTCTTCAAACAGCTGCACGGGAGGCCACCTTCTGCAGAGCCCATCCTGGCTTCCCCTCCCTCCATCAGAACATACCCAAAGCCTCCCTTTTTCCCTACAATAAAGCCATCCCCCTTCCCGTGCCTGCCTTTGAGTCTGCCCATCACAGTGGTCCGGTCCCCTTGCCATAGCTGACTCTGAACAGACAGGCTGCTGGTCCTCCTTTGGATGATTTTGTTTGTTCCCACAGCTCTGTGCAGCTGAGGACAGAGGCCGAGGTCATCTGAACCAAGACTCTCGTTACTTCCCATGGCTCCCGCGCCAACATAATCACCGAGGGGTGGCCAACCCCATGGGAGCCTCTTACCCCGTGGTCCTGCGGACAATTCTCTGGGCTGCGTTCACCGCCAAACTGCCTGCCAGTGGGACGGACACCCTGGTGACCTCCAGTGGCAGTGCCGTGGCTCCCACCCCACCCTCAGCCTACCGTGGCCCTGGGCCCTCCATAAGGGAAACAGGTCAGCCTCACCCAACCCCATCCACCTGGCCCTCCAAGGTGGCTGCTCCCCACTCCCCACTCTCCCAGAGCAGGGACACAGCTGCAGCCAACTGGCCCACCAGGGCTCTTTCTGGGCAATTTTCTGGCCATTTGCTATTTCTTGGCCCACCCATGCCATCTCTTCTTTTTTTTTTTTTTTTTTTTTTTGAGACGGAGTCTCGCTCTGTCGCCCAGGCTGGAGTGCAGTGGTGCGATCTCAGTTCACTGCAAGCTCCACCTCCTGGGTTCACGCCATTCTCCTGCCTCAGCCTCCCGAGTAGCTGGGACTACAGGCGCCCGCCACTTCACCCGGCTAGTTTTTTGTATTTTTTTCAGTAGAGACGGGGTTTCACCGTGTTAGCCAGGATGGTCTTGATCTCCTGACCTCGTGATCCGCCCGTCTCGGCCTCCCAAAGTGCTGGGATTACAGGCTTGAGCCACCGCGCCCGGCCGACGTCTCTTCTAAGAATATCCCTTGTCCTAGGTTCTATCAGCTTGTGTTTGTTTCTTCCTTGAGGTAAAGTCTAGTTACTATATAATAAAAGGCTTGGAGCTTAAGGGTTCAGGTCCGTGAGCCCCGACTTCTGCATTTATGTGTGTGACATTCCCACGCCCCAGCAAGGATCCTCCAAATGGATGGCTTTGTGCTTTGCAGGTGCAGGAATCAGCTTGTAACTAAGTCAAATCCTTTGTTGGTCACATGAGACATCAGAAATCTCTTCCCAATATGTGGCTTTTCTTTTCCAAATATGTGGGTTATAGTAAATAATTCTTGAATTTTTAGCTTAGCCAAATTTATTCACTTTTCTTTATAATTTGGGTTTTCTGTGCCTTATTGAAGAACCCTGCTTGAGACCAGAAACACTGCCAGGCACTGCTCTGCATACTGAGGTCCTTAACTGGTCTGGCATGTGCTTTGTGGACAGTGTATGGCGGGCTGCTTCTCTGCACAGACAGCCTGTTGTGTGCAGGGAGGTGGCCACAGGGAGCCCTTGCCCCTTACCGTGCAATCTTGTCACTGCAGGACATGGTGAGCAGCCGCTCCCCTTGCAGCACCCCGTCCCACGTCTGGATGCTCGCATTGGAGCGCACTGGAATCGTCCCCTCACCAGACTCTATTTTGGTCCGTAGCTGTCCTCTTGCTTTACGATTTGGGTGTCTATCTGCTGGTTCTAAGAGAGAAAAAAGAGTTAAAACCCCACAAGTAGTAAACCATCTATTTGATTTATTGAAAAGCACATCTAACAATAGCTTATAAATTTAAAATATAGTTTGTGCATATAAATGCACATGCTTATGCCATACATACAAAATACACATACAAAATAAGTATGTGAAACTGAGAGCTGAGTATGATGGCTCACACCTGTAATCTCAGCACTTTGGGAGGCTGAGGCAGGTGGATCGCTTGAGCCCAGGAGTTTAAGACCAGCCCGGGCAACACGGTGAAACCCCATCTCTACAAAAATTACAAAAATTAGCCAGGTATAGTGGTACATGCCTGTGATCCCAGCTCCTTGGAAGGTTGAGGTGGAAGGATCGCTTAAGAGCCCAGGAGGTCGAGGCTGCAGTGAGCCATGATTGCACCACTGCACTCCAGCCTGGGTGACAGAGCGAGACCCTGTCTCAAAAAAAAAAAAAACAATTACATGAAATTGAGTAGGAAAGACATAACACAAACAAAATTCACAAAAGTGGTCTCCAAGGGAGTTGGGGAAATGGGGTTTTCACTTTAACTGAAATTATTTATTTCTATCATTAAAAACGAGCTGAAGCAAATAGGACAAAATACTAACATTTGCTAATTCTGGGTGATGGATACTTGGGTGTTTGCTATGTTTTTTTCCTCTATATTTTTTAAATTTCCAAAATAGATCTAGACAGATGCAGAAATAAACCCATGGAAAGTATAGTAAAACACCCATAGTGAGTATTTCTGGGTTACAGGAATATGGGTGATTTTAATGTTCCTTCTTATATTTTAAAAATATTTAGCAATATTCCACAGTGAGTATGCCTGTTGCTTTTATAATCAAGGAAAGTAATGTAATAAAACGTTCCATTTGGAATAAACACTGCCTAAGAGCTTGGGAGAAGGGATGTGGATACAAAACACTAAAAAACAAAAGTGCTAACCTCAAATATAAAGAAGGATGGAAAAAAATATGATCACAATAGCAGTTTCACTTTTCATTAGTGTCTATCTGCTGCTGAAATATCAGGCAAATAAATACTTTAATTACACATTTAGCAAATTAGAATTCCTCAGAAATATGGAGGATCACATATGCCTCTGATATAGAGATATTTATTACCCAAATCTAAATACAGATACAATTTTAATCCAATACTCTCGCTCCATTCTAATTACTTGGTTAATTACAATCAGCATTATTCATTCATTAAAGTTTTCTAATTAAGTTATTAATTGGAAAGAAAAAAAGTCCATGCTTTTATAGAGACTCTTATCAGATCCACATCCAAGTCTGAAATTAAAAAGAGAAAAAAGGAAAAGGGATATTAACATAGGTTAGTTCTTTTATCTGTTACTTCATACAGATACATTTTCTTGAGGAACTGGCTTGTTGAAGAATCTCGTCTCATACCTTCCAGGATTGGCTCATGTGGTGAGAAGATTCTGGCATCTCCACAGGGAGAGGTGCTGATGTACAGATGAAACTGGACATTCTCCTTCAGCCTAAACCCTCCTCGCTCTGATTTCTGAAAGATGGATCTTTTTTGATCATCTTTGTTACTGAAAGGAAAAAAGTTGCAAAAGTAACATTTAAAGCTGTATATAGTTAAATTTTAGTCTATCATAGTTTAAAATAATTTTCAGAGGCTAGTATTTTCAACAGGGGAAAGATAAGTTTGAACTGGAATATTTATTTTACATGTTTAGGGTAATTAATACAGTTCTTGTCCACTCAATAATGGATATGTCATCAGAATGTGAGTAACTTTTCCTTCTTCCAATTTATGATTTCAGAACAGAAATATCACATACAAAAAATGGCATTGTAAAGAAAAAGAGTTTGGACACATGACTAGCTCTTTGTAGAAATAGTGACTAGAATAAAACTTACTATCTTTACCTGGCATTTTGGGAACTTCTATTTATACTGCATACAACAAAATCACATGGTCTTAAACACAGACTTGAAATTTATGACCATGTCATGTTATTGTATGTATGTGTGCATATGTTTGTTGAGCATTGTGGGAGAATGGGATCTAGCCTTATTGTTACTAATTAATTATGTTTTGAGTTATGATTTTGAGAGATTTTCCATGATTACAGAAACAATGAAAGGTTTTGCAATAGTTTTCTAATAGAAGAATATTTTAATAGCTTCCTGTCCTTATTTGTTTACTAAACTTACTTTAAGTAAAGCTCAAGTTGTGTATAAAGAAATCTGAGCAAGGATCTCCGAGATATTATTTCTGCATGGCAGTCATTTAATGCAAGGCCACGATCACTCATGTATTCACCATTAATACATTTTGTTCCTGTAGAAACACTTATCACCTTGGCATCTTTAACATCTGTGCCTGAAAAAAAAAAAAAAAAAAGAGACACTATTTTCTGTAATTCACAGTAATGTTTGCCTAACTGTGCTCCTAAAGTCTGATCCTTATTCTCAGTGACTTAACTTTTCAGGGGCCAATAGACTTTTCAAGCTCATCTTCATGCATATTCTTACCACCTATTTTTTTAAGTGGGCAAATGTATACACTGCAAACAACTTCCTATTGAGGACTCACTTTGTGACATTTCTGGAAAGCCAGCCATCCTCACTGCTTAGTGCACAGACACTGAACTCAAGGAAGTAATTTCGTCTGGTATGCAATAGCATCTTTTCTTGAATGCCCACAACTAGAACACAGCTGGGCAACACTATGGAAAGGTAGACTCACTGGTCTGGTAATTAATCTTGACATCAAATATCGAAGTACTAAAGAGGACAGGAAGGAGGGGTCAACAGCACCCAGAGGAATAAGAAGGAAAACAGAATTAACTTGCGATGTTTTCATTAGCAAACTGTCACCATGTAACCATACTGGGAGTGAAATCACAAGCAGTGGTGATCTCCCATAAACTTATCACTCTGTCTCAACTGTGTGAGATAAACTGCTGACCAGAGGTGTGATGCCGGGACCCTGGAAGTTACCTGCTGGGAGACTCGCATTCACTACAGCTGAACCAACGGTGTGCACACCATGTGGCAGGTATGCACACCATGTGGCAGGTATGCACCAGGTCTTTTAGGTAAATTGTCCTCACTGCATTCCCACGATGTCCTCTGAGGCTCATGCTACTAATGTCTCCACTGTATAGATGAGGGAACTGAGGCACAGAGGCCTCCTAATCTGCCCAAGGCCACTCAACCAGCAGGAGCCCCTGAACCAGCTGTCTGGAGTGCCAAGTGCTCCAGCATCCTGGCTTCAGATGTAAACTATGGCTCTGAGCAAGTGGTCTCGGTGAAATACACACTAAGACGTAAAATGTTCCCAGAAGGTGATCGGCCTCCTCTAAGGTGGTTAAAAAACAACAACAACAACAACAACAACAAAAAAAAAACGATGAAAGAACACGACCAGCTCCCTCACCCAGGCTGCTGGAAGAGGCAGGGAGTCTTACCTAGGGAACTACTCTATTCAGTAGTTGTGGTGTTCACCTTTGATTAATGTAAAAGATAGCAGTAAGGAGAGAGGTAAAGGGGGAGAAAATACAGGTACAAAACATTAGAACAGAAGCTGCTGTTTGAGTACTTCCTCCTCCCCAGACACGGCACGGCAAGGAAACAAGTCATGAGCAGAACAGCCAGGTTTCCTAGGGCAGCAAGAGGTGGGTCAGTGAAGAGGGCTGCAGAGTCTGATAGAGGTGACCCCTCAGGGGGAAAGGACAAGAAAGTCACATACCGAGAACTGGGGGGTTTCTCCTGGGCTGGTAGATGTAGAGAGAGAAACCGTCGCCAGCTTCTTCCCTTACCTCTAGGGCCTGCTTCCTGCATCTGGCTGTCCAGGCTGGGCTGAGCAGGTGCTGAGAGGTGGCCCCACATGACGGGGTCCTCTCCCTGAGTCTTGCTCCAGCCTGGAGAGCCAGACACTGGTGAAGGCTGTGGCTTCCTCTGAGCTACTCACAGAGACACACTGCTGCGTGTTCTCACTCCCAGGATGTGGGAAGAGGATTCGGGGGTTCCTTTTGCTACTGGGAACTTCTAGACTAATTTAACAGAGTTTCTTCTATCATTCTAAATTGCGTTTTTTTCCCCCACAGATTTTCTACTCTTGCTAGAGCTTTCTCCCTCCTCAAAAGAAGTCACACAGAAACTCGTCTGGCATCGTTAACATTAACTGACACAACAGATAGGCCCTACTTTCAAATAAAGCCAGAATTAGTAAGCCCCCTGCCATCTTCCAGAGCAGACTGAGGCCATTCACAGGAGGAAGATGACAGGAATCAGATAGTATGCTTTCTCCAAATACAACAAACTTAGGTTAAAAAGATGAACATTTGGGGGGAAAAGCTTGTATGTGCAGTTCCTACACTTGCGTATGGCAGACATTTTCAAGAAGAAAGGAAGTAACCATCTCCCGCTGGTGTGTCACGGTGGTTTCTGTCAACTGAGAACATTTCACATTTGTCAGACATGAAAACAGGCAGGGTTACATACAACACCAAGATGGTTACCTGTTGTCATGACGACTCCAGCCAGCACTTTTCTGCGAGCGTGAGGGGAGGAGAAGTTGTCGGTCAGGTCACCGAACTTACCCAGGACCAGGCGTGAGACAGCGTCAGCTAAAACCTGTGTGGGATGCACAGATGCAGGTTAGGGGCCAGGTGCAGCTGGGAGCAGGGCTCACTCTCTGAATGCTGCACGCACTCTCCCTTATGGAGTGACACAGGCTGCTTCTCATCTGGAAAACCACACAGGTAAATCTGGCAAACAAGTATGTGTGTATGTTTCTTCCAGAACATTTCTTGGAAATAGACACCCCAGGATCCTGCCAGGCTCTGGCTGAGTCCTTTGCCACCCGCATGGGGCCAGTGTGGAGTGTGGGCACCACACACGAGCATCCCTCCAATCCTCACCACAGGCCAGCCCAGCCCTCAGGAGGAAACCGAGGCAAACAGAGGCAAAACTGCCTGCTCAGGGCCACCTGCCCACGCCTACACCCACCTAGTATGGCCCTCCCACCCCCCTTGCCCTCTCTCACGTGCACACACGGTGTGGCTCAGTCAGCTCCAGGTCACACATAGCTGGGAGCACAGCCCAGGGTGATGTGCAAAATCACAGGCAAGAGAAAGGAGTAGCTTGGAGATGCGGTCCAGGGAAAGAAGCCACAGGCTGTGCACAGCACCTCCCTCAAAGGCGCCACCGAGGGGTTCTCAGTCACTCCAGCCTCTCCACACAAACGTACTCTGGCTGCGCTCACTCGCCCAGACGGCACGATAGAATCATGTACCAGAGGAGAGCACAGGGAGGGAAAGCGCTTAGACGTCCGGAACACCTGAACAGGTATATGTTCAGGTCAGACAGACACCTGTTTTAAGGTGCTTCTGAGAACAGACATATTTGTTGCATTTTGCACGTGGTCTTATGGCGTATGATTTATCTAGGATATAATGAGCCCATGGCATTTTGGGAAATGATGTCTGCTGGGAGGTTGGTGTTAAGAGCCAGTTTCAACTCATGTCCCACCAATTTCACACTTGTCTGGAAAATCAAATGACCACTAGGAAAACCCAGCATCCCCAGGTGGTCCTTAATAAAATATTTCTGAAATGAATAGAAAAGATAGTTGTCAGGGTGTTTTCCTCTTATCATTGCACCAGCAAATATCAGTGAGCCCCACAGGACAGTGTTCAAGACAAGTCATGTGGAGAATGGCTTTGGTGGCAGGGATCCATGCACCCGCAGGCAGCGGCATCCGCAATGCAGGGGTGAGTGGATGCGGGGAACTGAGGCTGTGACAGAAACAGGACGAGGCCAGGGTGCCAGAGGGAAGGGGTAACGCATTCGAACTGGCCAGGGCGCCAGAGGGAAAGAGTGATTCATTCGAATTTAGAGAGAGAAAAAGCCATAAGAAGATTAGGGATAAGCCAGAGGAAATAAAAGTTTCCATTTCATATAAGAATAGGCAAATCTCCAAATTTTCGAAGAGAGGTGAAGAAATCTAACTTCAGAGTGAGCTCCGAGAGCCTTGAGTGGAAGGTCTGGTGCTGGGGCTGATGCTGGTGAGCGCTGGCATCCGAGACACATGGCCAGGGCTCAGCCCCCTCCCCTTGAGGGGATTACTGGTCTCACCCTGCATGGTTAATGAAGGACTTCCCTCTTAATTTGGGGGACAGATATAAGAACAAAAGAAACATGCTTTTAAGAGTTAAACCCATGCCACACAGTCCCAGGCAGCACCATTTACCTGCAATGACACGCAGGGATGTCTGACCTACGTCCTTCAAGGATTACTCTAGAAAAGAGTGAGGGTTTTCCACCCACCCTAGAACGCACATTTTGAAATTTTCTGTCAGAAGACAATAGAGCCCAGCAACAAAGCCCAAAGGATGGGTTCTGAGAGGGCCACCTGGGTCCTACAAGGAACACATGTCACATTCCTGGGCTACCCTGGGGGCTCTGAAGACACAAGGTGGCAGGGTCCTCTGGCAGAGACTAGAAGTGCAGCTCCATCCTCTCATGCCCTAGTGGTTCTGGACATGAGGCCTAGAGCCTGGTGTTCAGCACCTACAGAGCCCAGGGGAACATGGCATCAGGGGGCTGAGATGGCCCTGCCCACCTGCACCCCTCCCCAGGCTGGAGACCAACAGATGCCCCTCCAGCCTTCCCACGCCAGGGGCTCTGGTCCTGCTCCACACAGAAGTCACTGCAGGCACACTGCCAAGCCAGGGAGGCAGGGCTGACGTCTATACTGGGGCTTCTATCTGTGTCCGCCTAAGGTGCTCACAGCCTACATACTAAAGGCTCAGACATCTGGGATCCACGGCATTTGATGTCATTTCAATGGTTTTATATGCCACTCTGTCAATATTAAGGGAAGACAAGTCACATCAGACAATATTTTGAACTCAGGCTTTAATATTTTAGCAAAGAGTAATCCTGAAAATAAAAAATCACATGGGATCTAGCACCATTGATTTGTTAAAGTACAAATGGACTAATAATCCTTATGAACAATGTTGATGAGAGGTTAATAAGGGAAGCAAGTATTTGGTTTGTTAAAAAAATCAGTGAAATACCTTGAATATATTATTTTATATTGATGTTGTATTTGGTTCCTTTAGGCAAAATAAAATACATTTCCTTCCTTTAAAACAGAACTCCTGGTCATCTCAGACTACAACTGCGCAGAGGTTATTCTAATTGTAGACAACAGCAAAAAAGAAACTATAAGACACTTGGATTCTGCCAGGGGAATACAAGTCACCTTCAAGTCTTCTGGTCAAGGGCAGTATACATGTTATCTTCGAAGTGAAGAAGACTCTGATACAAAGGAATAAATGAATAGAGGGTCAAAAGAATAATTTTTGCAATAGATCAGAAGAATTTTGGATTTCCAAGAAAAGAAGCAACACATAATCAGAGAGTTTTAGGATTTAGAGATGAGAACTAAAGGCGATTTTCTCCTTTACTTTTTCTCTTTCATGTAAGCCAATCTGAGCTCACCCTGGAACTTCCCCTTCCTTCATCCTGATTTCACTAGGCTGGGGGAGCGAGGGGAAGGTCAAATGGAAGAGCGGCTGCCCACCTCCAGCCTGGGCAAGCGGGGAAGTCCTCATAAAGCCCATGCAGGAAATTCAAAGTAGAGACTCCCAGACAACTGGCAGGCCCTAGAACAGTTGTTGGAGGCCCCTCCCTTCCTGCCTTCTGATAGGTGCTCACTGCTGTGCTGCCTCATTCTCTGCTTCGAGGGGCTCCTTGGCTGAGGGACAGCGAACAGCCACCAGTCAGTCATGTGGGAGCCCAGAGGCTGCCATCCTGACTCAGACTTGGATTTTCAGCTGCTGACGGGCTGGTGTCACTTATCTTGAATGTGAGATTCCTGGATGAGACCTTTGAAGGAAAATGATGCTGAACTGGGGGCAAGGTTTCAAAGACTGGGCTCTTATTCCCTCTCTCCTGCTAAAGGCTTGCTGTGGGATGAGGGTCATCGGTTGGTGGGGGGGTTGCCTAATGGGAAGAGAGTTATGGATAGTGTTGTAAACACTGCCCTGGTGGACGGGGCCTCAGGTGTCCCTGCCTTGCATTGCGACGGACCCAGCAAGCACTAGGATGCAGATGGCTTCTCAGTGGCCACATGGCCATGGAAATCAAGGAAAGGCTGCCCCAGCAGCCAGACTTACCAATAACTCCTCCTGATGGGGACAGAGTGATGTCAAGGGGGAAAGTCAATAGTAATCCTGAAACTAAAATGTTATCTAGAAGCATTACCAAGAGCAATGACCCTGTGTTTTAGAGCAGCAGCACCGTTCCTCACCTGCGGTAAATGCAGCTGAAGACCCTCACTGGGAATAGGCTGGCGAGATGGCGTCTGATCCAAGTGCAAGTTAAAAATGGTGGCCAGGGCAGACTGTGCAGCCCGGGCCTTGGCAAGCTTCTTGTTTCTCCCCGAGCCTTCAAAGAACTGACCATCCACGACCACAGACATGACGAAGCTCTTGGCATGGCTCTCCCCACTCTCGGAGAGGAAGTCATACTTGAGTCCTGGGCGCAGTTCGTTCAAGATCATCACGGGATTCTTCCCACTCGGGGGTGGGAATGGTGGTAAGACAGGGAGAGGAGGCTGGGCTAGGCTGGCAGGCACCGGGGAGGCTGACAAGCTGAGGTCCCCACTGGAACTGAAGGAGTCATCCCCGTTGGAGCCCACGTAAAAGGGAGGCTCCGCCTTGTCAGGAGTTTCAAAACCATTGAAGAGCGTGTCAGGGAAGTCGGCCTGGTCAGATGTGAAGTCCGTGTTGACAGACAGGGTCCTCCCCATGGCCAGGTGGGCCTCAGAGGCATTAGGAAACTGAACGAAAGATCTCAAGGCCTTCTCAGCAGCATGGAGTTTGGCCTTTTTCTTTGTGGGACCAGAGCCCTCAAACACCTGGCCATTCACCTCCACAGACATGACAAACAAAGGCGCGTGCACGGGCCCAGTCTGGGACAGGAGCGTGTACTGCAAACCAGGCTTGATCTCATTCAGCTGCATCAGGGCGTTCTTGGGAAGGACGGGCCCTGGTGTTCTCCTCCTTTTCTTCAGGCGGTACTTGGAGTGGCCATTGCTGCCCTCCTCCAGGGACCGCTTTCTGCCGGGGCCACCACCACCCCCATTGGAGAGCTGAGAGCCCTCGCCAGGCCCAGGGGTGCTGCCATCCTTGGGGGACACGTTGTCCAGATTGCGGTTTTCCTTCACATCAGTGCTGCTGGAACCTGTGGTGCCCAGAAAGAGTAACTTACAATGCCTTCGTTGCAGGATCTTGTAAATGCAAAATTTATAGATTCCTTTAGCTCTCTTTGTAACTGGTTAAGTGATGTGTGCTTATCAATTTTATTCCTTGATGTATACGTGAACAGTTAGACATTTAAAGAACTATCAGCCTCAACTAAACAAGTAATGTGACACTTTGCTCAGTGACTAATACCATTTCTATTCAGTGTCACCAACTGCTTTTGCTTTAAAAAGTAAAATCTTTAAATAATTTTTTTTTTCTGAGAATATTCTGAAGTATCTAGACTTTTTCAACCTTATCAAAATGTGGGATGATAAATTAATCCAGAAAGACCTTACATATTAAAAAGGTCTTTATAATGAAATGACAATTTAATATAAATATATGGATTAATGTATATTTATTTTAGCATTTTCCTTTCACTGTTGTTTACCCTCATTTTATCTACGGGTTTTAAATTGCAGTGTCTCTCAGAAGAGAAAACTATTTTAAAAACTTGCATCCACAGATAATTAGTTTTTCAGGTTTAAAATATTCAATCAATAAATGCAATTATTTGATTTAGTTTATGAACCAATCTTTAAAAGCTGCTTATGTAATTGTGTAAAGTATTACGGCTTTTTAGTTGTTGTGTTTGGAGGGTATGGTTTTATTTCTAGCATCTATTTGAAAACGAGAACATTATATATGGGGGCTGATTAAGTCTGAATCCTTAATACCACTCCATGATAGAAAGTGTGTAAGAACAAGACACAAAACTGAAGCTGTAGGCAGGCTACAACCTCCTAACTTCATAAATACACTTTCTGGTGATTTTGTCTTTTTTAAGACAATTATTTGATGAATTTCCAGAAAAATCTGTTTATCCTAACTTTTAAAAGTATTTTAGATTTCAAATTAATACAGATAATTTTAGAATTCTAAAATTACATGGCAAAATAAACATAATTTTAAAATTTTATTTATTTATTTATTTGTTTATTTTTGAGACAGAGTCTCAGTCTACTGGCGAGGCTGGAGTGCAGTGGCGTGATCTCAGTTCACTGCAACCTCCACCTCCCGGGTTCAAGTGATTCTCCTGCCTCAGCCTCCTGAGTAGCTGGGACTACAGGCTTGCACTGCCATGCCTGGCTGATTTTTGTATTTTTAGTAGAGATGGGGTTTCATCATGTTGGCCAGGTTGGTCTTGAACTCCCGACCTCAGGTGATCTGCCCGCCTTGGCCTCCCAAAGTGCTGGGATTACAGGCATGAGCCAGCGTGCCCGGCCCTAATTTTTTATTTTAAAATTAGAGTAAAAAGTGTTCATTGAACTTTTTAAAAAATAGAAGAAGAAATAACTCCTCTCCATCATGGCTAGGCAGCTGTCACATGGAGCCCAGGGGTGAGGGCTACAGTGCCCTGCAAGGTTGTAATGTGAATGAAAGTTAAAGACATCTACCACCAGATTTCAAAAATCTATATTAAGTAACCAAAATATTGCTAAAATTGTAAACCAATTTACACGTGCCCCATATGGTGGCTTTAGGGTCTATTTCTACTACATGTGTAAAGGTAGATTCTCATTATGTTAAGCAAACTGAAAAGTTGTGAAAATGTTCATCAGCTTCATCCATGGGAAGGCTGAAAAGGACCAAGTCCTTGCTCTTGGCTGCCAGTCTTTGAGGTTAAAGATCTCTAATTCCAGGGCTGGCATCATTCAGCCAAGACAGCAGAGCATAAACCTGGTTTAGACACAACCCGTGGGAAAACTGATGCCACACTGTGGCAGAGGCTAAGAAATTTAAAACTTTCTCTACAGACATCATTTCTCCAAAATAATCCTCACACACACACCACTTCTCCCAGTTGACAAAGCTGATGGAATGGACATTAAATTTTCATTTATAACATCCTCCAGCAAAAGCTCGATAGGTTACTCCTTTCGGTGCTCAAAGGGAAAAAAAGGTTAAAAAAAAGTAGAGCCAAGATGGAAGTCAGAGATTAATAAACTGAGCAAGAACATGACATACTAGATTACTGCTTACATTTTGACTTTGTTGCTAAACAATTATCAATATCAAAAATCAAATCATTATAAATGTATTTAGACAGGCATTTAACCAAATATTTATAACCTCTGAAATAACCAAATACTTTTCTTTCAGAAATAAAAATAATCACTATTGGATTGACAAATAATTTTGAGAAGAAGATACTTCTGTAACAGATTACAAACATTCTAAACTCTTACTTCAGGAGCACACTGAAATACTTTCTCATTGTCATTGAAAATGCTACTATAATAAAGGAAAATACTAAAACTAGAAAAAGATGCCACTTTCACAGCTTTTCCTAAACAGATGCCTTCTCTCTCTGTATCATGCTACTACATTTCATAAATGTACATAACTGATCATGATAGGGCTTTGCATTGCTTTCAAAATGATAAAAAAAAAAAAATACAGAACCAGAATTTCCAAGTTTCAGCACTAGAACATCAGCTTATCTTTACAGAAAAATTATTCGGGAGGATTGTTTATCATGTCAAGTTATCACAGGATCAGTTTTGGGATAGTTCCAGAACCTACACGATCATGAAGCCTCTGTCCATGCGAGGTGACTGCAGCTACAGGCTGTAGGCCACAGTCCTGACACAGAGGCCCTGGGGACCCCTGCACACGCTGTCGGTGGGCTACTGCACGGGCCAAGCACAGGTCACATTTTCTCAAATGAGGAGTATGGACGTAACCTCTCTCTTAAAGCTTGTGGCAAAATTGGAAACAGTGAGTAGAACTGCCCAGTAAAAACATAAAGCTGGGTTTTTAAAAGATCTCAAGAGCAGGACTGATGAGGAAAAAAACCTGAGAAAACAATCACCAGCAGCCACGGGCTGCGCACACATCAGCAGAAGTGAGGTGAGCACACTGGTCCCATGGGAGCCGGGTAGCGCTGCAGGAAGTGGTCTCACCCTCACACCCCAGATGGCTGACTTCAACCAAAGCCAACACTTAGCGTACAGTCCATAGAGCAGAGGCCCAGCCCCCTCCACAGCATCCACAGCACACCCACAGGGCAGCACTACCACGCAGAAATGTTTCGCTGGGTCACAGTTTGGGTTCTACACGGTACACAAGAGCGATTCCAAGACCCCAGATCATCAGTTTTGCGTGAAGTCAAAGGGAAAGTGCTGAGCCAAGTTCTAATGCTCAATAATCACTCCCAGTGACATGTCACTCAACACTGATAGCTGCATGTTATTCCTTAAGACAAGTAAGAAGGTAAATATGGATAGTTATATTAGTTAGAGCAATGATGCCTTTGTTGTAATTTCTCTACTAAACTCTCCCAACTTCTGTGAAAGCATTTAAATCTGTTTTCTGAGACTGAAGATGAACTAGAAGAGATAAGTACCTTCAACGAGCTTTTTATAGAAGAAAACACAGAGGAAACACTGACGTACCCCAGCGGCTTTCCACCCACCAGCCCCAGAGAGAACAGCATGGAAGGAGGAGGCCCACACCAGTCCCAGCTTTCATTAGCACCTTTGCGAACTTCAGATCAACAGACACGTGTGAACCCCCTTCCTTCAAAATGCAGGGAGAATCTGCATTTTGAAGGGAAATATTTCTGTACTATTATTGCAAAAGACTGGGTATTTAAATCAATCTCAGACATTTATCTTCGATTTGCATGCATGAATACTCAAGAGCATTATTCTAAGAGGCATGCCGTGACAGGACTCCACACGAAACAGTGGGGCTTCATGAGATGTGCCCAGAAGCCCATTCCATCGTCACAGTGATGCCCCATGACGATAACGAGGAAGGAAAAACCTAGACATACCGCTGCAGGGAAAACGTCTACAGCAAATTCTGACACCTGTTGCAGAGAACACACCAAAAATTAAAAACATGCCACTGTCAGTAGAACATGTTACGGGAAAAAACACAATTCCCCACATTGGTCTCATGAAATATATTTGCAAAAACACCAAAATGTTAACATAAAATTAGCTATCTGATACTATGTGATAGGCCTAGATCTTACTCATGTTTTCTTCATCTTCTATATCCATGGCAAAATACTTTTGAGGGTTTCTTGACTGGCGGAGACTGTTTCTGTCTGAAAGACAGTAAGAAAATAGCATTTAGTGTGCCTATGATATGAGTAATGTGAAGTAAGTCTACTCTAAGGAAATAATTACAATATTATTACAAATTAAAGGAAAAAAATCATAAAATAAGAACTAGGTCTTGTTAGAGAAGTCAGATCTGCCATCTGGTAAAAAATACTCCTCCTTGGCACATTCCAGTCCAGCAAAGGACTTCCCACGTGAATTCCAGTCCAGCAAAGGACTTCTCGTGTGGATTCCAGTCCAGCAAAGGACTTCTCCCGTGGATTCTCCCACATGGAGGGATGATGAGGGTGGGACCAGGTCCCAGCAAGGGAGGTTCAGGGCCAGTGCCCAGGGACCTCACACCACTCTGAGGAGGGTGGGTTTGATTCCGGGCAATGGAGGGCCATGAAGAGCGCTGAACTAGGGACAAAGGCACTGGCATCTGCACCCTGGAAAGACATCTGCTGCGGGATGGACTAAGGACACAACACGCCACGACAGATGGCGACAGACCTCAGAAGGGCACTCACATACTTGCCATCTATCTTTACTCTGGATAGACTTTTGGCTTCCAGCTGTAAACTAAAGCCACACCGCAGAACCAGCACCCACAGCTTCTCTCTTAGCTACTTCTCTCTCACCTTGAATAGCTCTTCATGCAGACAAAACTAAAGTGCATATGACTGTTAAAATTCAATCTAATTTCTTAGCTACATAAAAGTACTATTTTGTTGGCAGGAGAAAACACAGGAAATCCTCAAAGAACAAGTATCACAATTTCTGGTTACTAACAAATTTAGGAATTTCCTCTTCTTAAATATTTTAGATATACTTTGTTAGACTGTATTAATACATGATCTATAATAAAGAATATCCTCAAATTGCAATTGAGGAAAAAGAGGATTTGCAAATTTTATAATCACATTACTTTGTATACAAATAAAACTTATAAATCACTAAAAGGCAAACTCATTGCTCTTAGAAAATGGTGACTAAAATGTACTAAAACATGCATATATCTTATATCTCTATATCAAATATCTAAAAGTATTTATTTTAGATATATAGTTTTTCATGAAATCATTTGTTAATAACTTTCAATCTCACTATATTTCAGGCAAATGTGTTGCTAAAAGTTAAATGAGTTTCTCTTTAGAATCCTTTATTCAAGAAAGTTTGCCAGATAGTTTTAAAAGCATTATTATTTTACAGTCATTAATTATTTCAAGATATATTTTCTGAGAATCAATTACGTGCACAAGAATCTAAATCAGATTCTGAGAAACATTTAAGTTTAAATATTGCCTGAATAGCTGATTATATTAAGGAATTATGATACATTATTTTAGGTGTAGAAATGGTAATTCTCTTTTAGTGACATATACTGAAGTATTTACAAATAAAAGGACAATATCTAGAATTTACTTCAAAATAATTCAGTGTGGCGCGAAAAACAGAGACGAGGTGTAGACAAAACCAACCAAAGGGCCCTGGTTGGTAATTACTGATGTGGCTGATGGGCATGCAGAGTTCTTGATACAACTGTGTATTTGTATATGTTTTAATATTTTCATTATGGAAGGACTGATAAAAAGTGATTGGGTTAAGGTCTAGAATGGGAAGTGAGATGTAGGAACAGAGGGCAAGAGCCCTGTCTTGCAGGCAGGGCAGATGCCCTCAGTAGGCTGTGGGTGCTTCCAGGAGCCTCCTGGCTGGAGGGATCAGGCCAGAAAACTGGGGACATGCTCATTAAACTGAGCTTCAGATGAGAGGTCTGGCTGAGCATATCATGAAGACAGGAAAACAGGTGGTGTGTGTGAAGGCACTGAGGTTATGCAGGCAAAGTGATGGCAAGGCGCTTCTCAGAAGCCCAAACTATAAACTGGAGGAACAACAAATAAGCCTGTCCAAATAGCTCTGTTCTTATTGGCTGAAACTTGTTTTAAATAGGCAAAGGAATGTCCTCAGTGGGAAGGCAGAGTTCTTCTCCTTTTTCCTCCCATTAAATACAACTAAGAATCCTGGATATTATACATAAAACACACATAAAAAGACTGAGAGATGCAGAGAAAGCAGACAAGCCAGGGGGCCTTAGGACCTAAAAAGCAACCCTGCATTTTCCTTTTGCTTCATTTTCTCAACATAGAGCTGAAGAAGCCAGAACCCAGAAACATCAACAGGCATTGGCAAAAACAAAACACATAAAAAGCCGCAACAAAAGCTGCTCTCTCTGGCCAAAGGACCAGGAAAGAGGTAGCCCAGCAAGACAGAAAACTTTTTAGACAAGAATTGCTTGATTCCAGGCAAACACCAGAGAGAAAACCTCAACCACACCGCCCCCGTGCCAGGCTGTAAGGACAATCCAGAGTCCCCTTGTTGGGTGGTGTCTGACAAGGCTGAGTGACAAGCCCAATTTTCATTCCCAGGCTCTAACAACCCCTTCCCTTCCCACACCACATTGCAGAGTCATGGAAGACTGTGTGGGGAACCTGGACTCTCTTCCCAGCTGGTGGAAACAACGCTAGCCCGTGCTGTCAGTGCAGGCTCCAAATGGAGCAGTGATGAGGCCCTCTCACAACGGGGAGGTATCCGGGAGCCCCAGTGGAGAACTTGGACTTATCCCCCATCCAGCAGTAATGAGACAGCATCCCTGCTTCCTCTAACACCACGGTGTATGAGAAAGTCAGCTAAAACAGAAGGCTTGAGTAAGATTTAGAGTCTCATAATATCATATAAACAGGTTCCAATAAAAAATCACTTGTCACACCGAGAAACAGAAGATATCAAACTAAATGAAAAAAGACAATCAACAGATGCCAATAGGGGGATGAAGCAGATGTTAGAATTCTCTTAGAAAGACTTTAAAGTAGCCACCATCAAAAAGAATAAAGTGGGAGCAATCAGTCTAGGTGATCTCAGCATTTACTACAAAGCTACAGTCATCAAGACAGTACAGTGTTGGCAAGAGGCAGACGAGCAGATCACAAGAGGATAGCACAGAGAATCCCCAATAGACCACACAAATATGTCGAACTGATTTTGGACAAGGGTGCAAAAGCAATTCCGTGAAGGAGGCACGGCCTTATTGGGGCAACTAGAGATCCAAAAAAATTAACCTCAATTCAGGTCTCCTACCTTAGTCAAAACTTAACTCAAAATAGATTATGGGCTTATATGCAAAACATAAATCTATGAAACTTTTAGAAAGTCACAGGAGAAAATCCTCAGGATCTAGGGCTAGGCAAAGAGTTTTTAGACTTCACAGCAAAAGCACAATCCACAAAAGAAACAACTGACAAACTGGAAGTTTAAAACTTTTTCTCTGCAAATGTCCCTGTTAAAAAGATGAAAAATCAAGCCACAGACTAGGAGAAAATATTTGAAAAACACATATCCAACAAACAGAATATATAAGAAATTATCAAAGCTCAACAGCAAAATAAACAAACAGTCCAATTAGAAAATGGGCAAAAGACATGAAGAGGATGTACAGATGGAAAATAAACTCATGAAAGGATGCTCAGGATCATGAGTCACCAGGGAACGCAACTGAGAACTACAGTGAGATAACTCCGCTGCACGCCTCCGAGAAGGGCTATTAAGCATAGTGTCGCTTTAACAACAGTGACAGCCCCAAGTGAAAAGGAGGCTGTGGAGAAGAGGGATCTCTCGGAGACTGCTGGCAGACATGTGAAATGGGAGAGCTACTCCAGAAAGTAGCTTGGCAGTTTCCTGAAAATAAAACATGCAACGACCACATGACTCAGCAATTGTACTTCTGGGCATTTATCCCAGAGAAATGAAGGCTTATGTTCATGTACGTATTATTTCTTACAACTACATGTGAATCCATATTATCTCAAAATAAAAAGTTTTTTTAATTTTTAATTTTTTTTTTTGACAGTCTGGCTCGCCCAGGCTGGAGTGCAATGGCACTATCTTGGCTCACTGCAACCTCTACCTCTCAGGTTCGAGCTGCCTGCCCCAGCCTCCCGAGTAGCTGGAATTACAGGGACACGCCACCATGCCCGGCTAATTTTTGTATTTTTAGTAGAGAAGGGGTTTCACCATGTTGACTAGGCTGGTCTCGAACTCCTGACCTCAGGTGATCCACCCGCCTTGGCCTCCAAAATGCTGGGATTACAGGCATGAGTCACCGCACCCAGCCTTCAAAATAAAAAGTTTATTAATAATAGGCAGAAGACACACAAAAGGCTAATTTAATTCTTATATATAATTAATCAATAATTGGTTTGCTTGAGAAGGCTGACTTCTCTCAGATACCCGGGACCAGGAAAAACAAACTTTACAACAACAATAAAAGTGCTGAGGCACAGGAGTGAGCCCAGCTCATGTCGTTCACCGAATTCATGTAGTTCACCTTGTTTTCCTGCCCTTACGTATTAAAATTCTTTTAAAAGGACATGGAAAATGTCTCACAGTAGAAAACAGTCATGCCGAGTGTGGTGGCAGGTGAGTACCAGCAGGTACCGCCCACATTAAGAATGGGAGCTACAAATCTCTTGCAGAGCAGAAGCCAACATTTTCAGCTTTGACAAATGCCAACTCTTGTACCAAAGGTTACAAAACAAAGCAAAATAGCAAATGCAAACACTTTAGCACATTTCACAGAGCTATTTTTTCTTTCCTTTTTAAAAGAACCTCTTATGACTTGAACTACAAACAAGTAAGAATTAAAGCGCTATCAAATATTCCCTATGGAACAAAATTCCAAGAATGGTCAATTTTAAAAAAGCCTTATTTGATAGCAATATTCAGAACAACCTCTTCATTTCTCAGAATGCCTCCTAATGCAGTAAGAAGTAAAACAGAGCTGGGAGGTGGTGAGTGTGGAAGAACATTGAACTTGACTGCAGAAGACCTGAGACTTCAGTTTCACCTGGTTCCAGGTACAAATCCAACTTTTTTTTAATGGAACTAGACAAGCTGATTCTAATGTTTACATGAAAAGGATAAACACATACTCAGGAAAACTCTGAACCAA